GTATGAGGGCCGGGAAGGGCGTCTTGGGCGTCTTGAGGTAGAGGGAGCTATTCACATAAACGAGCCAGCTACGCTGCTCCGGCTGCCCGGCGTATTTGGTCTTGTAGTTGTATACATGCCCTCGCACGGTGTGGGTGCCCACAATACCCGTGCCCACCTGACACAGCGATAACGAATCACACCAGAGAGGTCACGAGTCAGCGCGAAGGCTTCTCCGGAGAGTCTCCTGTAGCAAGGGTCGTGGAGGGTCGCGACAACGTACCTTAAGTAGCCCTTCTCTACTGTTCAAAATGTACAAAAATCGTCCGCAGGCGGCGATGCTTGGGAGCGCGGCGCCGATGGGCGTGCCTCCAGAACTGTGGCCGAGACCGTAGGCGGACGCCAGGGCCGAGGTGGCATCGCGCCAATTGTATCGCCACGTGCCTAAAGATATGATTGGCCTGCGTTAACGTCTATCCCTCGAAAAAAAACCAAACGTGCCCACGACACTGATGATGAGGAGAGTACCTTGATAGGCCTCGTCGAAGAGCGAACAGAGTTCCTTGTGTTTGCGGAAGTCCTCCAACTGCTTGAGGTAGGGTACCACGCTGCGCAGCGCTTCTTCTCGGCCCTTGCCCTTTGCTGCGCCGGCAGCGTCGGAAGCCACGACGGGCGCGGTAGAGCCCTCCACCTGTTGCGGGGCCGCGGACTGGAGCTTCTCGTCCACCGCTTCCTTCTTGGACGGGTCCAGCAAGTGAATCAACGCGTCCAGTGAGGTCTTGACCGAACCTCGCATGAGTGCCAGGATGAGCAGCAACGTCACAGCCTGCAGCGGGGAGAGGTCAGTTAGGTCTCGAACCCTTAACAACCGTATGAACATGGTGCACACGACAACGCAGTCATTACCTGGCTGCGCAGAGAGGGGCCGGTTGAAGGCTGCTGTGGGCTGGCCTTGGCGCTGCGGGGCTGCCCACCGCTGCTGAGGAAGGTGGTGAGGAGCTCCTCGAAGGCGTCCAGCGTCTTGTTGTCCTCCTCGTGGAAGAGCGAGTAGGGCGGAAGGT